GAATGCCAAGAGTGCCAAGAGTGACAGTGTCAAATAGGCTAACTTACAAAACCTCTATCAACCTACCATTTACAAAGAACCACAGAAGTTGTAAGGTCAGATAGGTTTCAACCATGAGAAACAGGAGCACTGTCCCTTTCAGGAATGAACCAACAGCTGAAGCAACTCTAACTTCAGCATCATTGAATAAGCTTCAAGAATTGCAAGCAAGCAGGAAGCCAAACCAAGCTTGAATCAAGTCAAGACAAACCAAAACTGGAATAAATCTTTATTTTTCTTAAACCAGTCCAGAATCTGAACAATTACCTGAAAGTTTCTGTTGAACCATATCCAGAACAGAACCAGGTTGCTAGTTTAGAATAAGGGTTCAACCAAACAAAATAATTGATGTGGTACATTCTTTGGTTCCACCAAAGTAAGCACACAAGCAATTTGTATATCTGGGTTTGCACAGATTGTATGCTTTGCCCTCCAAAAACTGGACTCAAGACCTGTTTCCCTTTGGGACTGGGGTTTGATCAACATACAAGTTAGAGCATGAAAGGAATGGACATAAAACATGAATGTGGGGTGATTGTAATAAGATAAATGATACCAGATATATTTGGTGTTTATCAAGTTGTGTTCACAGATACAGTACTATGGCAATGCCTTTGCCAATGTAAAATAGGATAGAAATATGTGAGCAATAGGAAGTAACCTGTGAAACCAAAGTACAGCTAGAAAATAAGACTACAGAAATAGTGGAAAGGCAGAAAAAGGGATCAAAACTGAGCCCATTCAAATGAGTAGGTGTGAATTCAAGCCTAAGGATTTGCAGTGCACCCACTGGAGAAAGGAAAGGGGAAAGGAATTCTTACTGTGCAGTGCAGGGTGTCCCTCTCATGTGCCTTACATTTAGATTTTACCATTTGAAGAACTGGACCAGTTGCCTATATGTGTCAGTAGAGTAACTAAACCTTTACTGGCCTGAACTAAACAACTTCAGCTGTAGTTGAACTTGAGCTGGGAAAGAACCAAAAAATAACTAACTGCTAGCTGCTAGAGCAACTAAAATACATGCTTCTGAACAAAAAACAACATAAAACACAAGCACCTCAAACTGCTTAAGATAGAAATTAATTAAATGCTACTGATGGCATGAAGCCTGTAGCTGAACTTCTCCCCTCCTTGGGCAAGTGCAGTATCCATTCTGCTGCTTACTCCAAGGAAAGGAAAGGGGAGGGGAGGCTATAATTGTGCAACATTGCTGTGCCTTATGGCCAGAAAGATGTGAGTAACTTTCAGCTACCAAAACCAAGGAATCATCAGAACTCAGACAGTATCCAGCCAACTGTGCAAGGTCCTAGATTGGTGTACTCTTTCAACTGTTTACTGTTCTCAATATGCAAACTGGAGCTCTTTTTACCATCATGGCTTCCCCAAAAAACCTATTTGATGAGGATACTAAGAATACCATGTTGAGATGCATAACAGAATCCCTAAGATTGCTTAGAGAGAAGGAATGACCATTATTTATTTCACTATGGTGTAGTGGTTAAGAGTGCTGGACTGGGACTCAGAAGTTCTGGATTCTAGTTCCACTCAGCCATGGAGCTCACTGTGTCTCTGTGAGCCCATCCTGTGAGCCTAACCTACCTCAAAGAATTGTTATTGTGAGGATAAAATGAAGAGGAGACCCTTGTAAGTTGTCTTGGGTTCCTTGCAACAGGAATAACGGCAGGATATAAATGCAGTGCGATGATGATAGGGATGACGATGAACTTTCCCCAGGGGGTCATCCCACGTAGGCAATGATCAAAGCAAAACCTGCTTAGATTCTGCGAAGTTGCTGCATAATGCTTTAGGACCATGAAAACTGTAATATGGACATGATCAGTTGCCCCACAATTAGTTTTGCATATCCCAAGATATTAGGAGATATAATTTACCTATTAAATATAGTTATCATGCATGCAGACATAGTGGGGATCCAACTGGGACCAAGGAGGGGAGGGAAGAAAGAACACTGACCCTTATAGGAATATCACGTGCTACAGTGAGTATGCACTCTCCCTAAGCTACCTGAATGAAAAGCATTTAATTGTGTTGGTTGAATGAATGGCTCACTTCATTAAGGCAACACAAAGATCTGCAACACCCACATCCCAACCCATATTTTGTGGTGGAAACTGACCCTGTGTTCCCCTTGAAAACAGCCTGTTTGTGGGGAAGAGAAGAAAAAGTGAGCACAGACACAATTCCCTGCAGTTGCATTAGATGAGAAGGGAGGTCTCAGATTCCGAACACATTTCATGGAAGGACAGGGGAGCTCTCTTACAATTTACTCTCAAATTTTGAAGCAGCTCATGCATGTACATTTTTGAAGAGGTAAACGGCACAGACCAAATCAGCAAGAAGAAACAGCATGGGGCAGCGGGAACAGCTCATCTGCCCATTTTCCTTCTCTAATTCTTGGCAATCTCTATATGCCAGCTTCTTGCCTGGCTTATTTCCTTTCAAGGACCCTAACAGCAGTTCATGAATACTGCACCTGTTCTCACTAATCCTTTTCACCCTCTCTAGTGACTCCTTCAGTTGTAAAGAGCAACTATGGATGAGAACAACATGAGCACAGCAGGAGGGGAAAGGATGGGCTTCATTCCTAAGGACATCTTTAAGAGCCTCAGGAGAAGCAGGTGACTGGAGAAGAGCAGGTGGGTGCAGTCGATTTGTGGAGAGGTCAAACGGTGCAACAGGATACAGAGATGAAGGGCACTGTCAGGATCTCTGGACCAGTGAAATGTATGGGCAAGCGGTGTGATGTATCAAATTATGGAGGCAAATGGTCCAGTCAAATGCTCTTCAGGATTTTTATACAGCCATGGTTCTCAAAGAAGATGGTCCATGAAACATCCAGTCCAGAGCAGAAAAATAATAGCGAGCATGTGTGAAAGAGAAAACTTTGATTACCTGATGCAAAATGTCAATCTATTCCTTTTCCCTCAGTGAATGTAGTTACCTACATAAACTCAACTCCACTACTCTAATACAAATATGAATGTCCTGTAATGTATCTTAGTGCTATAATTCATTTGGCTAAACTCTATTTCTATATTTCTGTTCACACATTTAAAATATATGCCAAGAGGTCTTCCCTTGCAGCATGCTTACAAAAAGATTAATTATTCAGAATTAGCCACTATACAAATATTTCTTTTAAAAAGAGTAGTATTTTTAGTATTCAGTAATACTTACTACTTTTTAAACTCGGGTTTGAAGTTATTATCATTACTATTATTATTATTACATTGCATTTATGTCCTGCCTTTTCCCCCTTGCGACGAACCCATTTGGAGAGCCAACCAATGCCTAGGGATGAAAACATCAGAGCAGCCTTGCTGGTCCACCAGGTCCAGCATCGGGTTTCTCACAGCAGTAAAGCAGATGCCCCTCGCGAAGCCCACAGGCAGGACATGACAGCAGCAGCCTGCTGCTCCCCACTGATCACTATGCAGAGGCATGCTGCCTCTGGCCCTGCAGGTTCTATACGGCCATCACCGCTATGATTTGTTCATTACATTTCTAGCCCATTTTTCTTCCGCCATGGACCTCAACATGGCTTAGATGTCCCTTCCAAGCACTGGTCCAACTCAGACCTGCATAGTGTCAGCAAAACGGCAGCCTCTTGTGCTTTCAGACCATGCCCTGGACATACTGGGCATGGAGAGTCTTATCCTCCTTTCTCTAACCCCCCTCCTTTTTTTAAAGCCAACTAAGTTGGTGGCCATCACCATATATTTCAGTAGTAAATTCCACAGTTCCATGAAGTGCTTCCTTTTATCCATGAACACTTTTATCCAGTGTTCCATGAAGTGCTTCCTTTAATCTTTCCTGAATCCCTCAGATGAGCATCCCTGTGCCACGGATTCTGCATAAGCAGAACCCATTTCTCCTAAGAAATCCTGGAGTTTTACAATGTTGTGATGATTTAGCAAAGAGGAAAAAAGCAAGAGCACAGGGAATGTCAGCCTGTTAACTTAGCATTTGCCTTCTCACTACACCAGGTAACCACTACCCCAGACAACTGTACATCGCCCCATTACTACCATGACCAACAGCAGCAGGGAAAGCAGATGTACAAAGCACCTCTACAATATTGTTCTTTGTTATAGCAAAGCAGCACTAAGGAAACCGTGTGCATGATTTTATGAAAATGAGACACCTCTTCTTCTCCAATTATCTTACAACCAGTGGCCCTTACTAAGAAAATAAGCAAAACACTGATATTGTGTCTGTAGCAGTTTTAGAAAAGTTCAATCAAACCCATACAGTTGCCTGCCCCCAACTTTTGGGCATGCGTACAAAGCCATGAATCCAGCCCAGATAGATCTATCTATTGCGATTTATATCCTGCCTTTTTCCTACAAAGGGCTCAAGGCAGCTTACATCATTCTCCTCCTCCATCTAATCCCCACAACAACCCTGTGAGGTAGGTTGGGCTGAGACTCTGTGACTGGCCCAAAGTCACCCAGTTGGCTCCATGGCCGAGCGGGGACTAGAACCCAGATCCTCCGAGTCCCAGTCCCACGCTCTTAACCACGACGCCACACTGGCTCTCCACTATTATGGGAGCAGCAAGCACCTCTCCCTCCTTTTGTACTCAGCTGGGCAGGGACACAAGTCTGAGGCAGACAGATACGGGGAAAAGCAGAAAGAATATCAGGCGTTGCAGGCAGGCAAAGCACATTTCATTTATCGCTATAACGGCCCCATGCCATTCCCACTGACTGGAAGCACCTTTTAAGACCCTGTTGCTTTCAAACACCTTAAAAGACACTGGCTGCTTGTATGTATAACTCCAAGAGGGCATATAAGCTGCAGTACACTCTACAGACCCTCACTTGCCAATTCTCAGCATAGCTACGTATTGATTGATTGATTTTCCTACATCCTGCTATATGAATGGCTTGCACCTACAGCAAGAAATGGAAGCAGGTGAAAAATATATGAACACGTACCTGCTCTTCCTTTCGATAAGAATAGCCATGTAAGAAGCTGGTAAAGCAGCACCAAAACCAGGAGTCCAAAAATAGAATTTTCCAAGGATCCTCCTGAAACAAAGGAGTATAATTCATTATGTTGCATAATATCACAGCACAAAAAAGCGGGGGAGCTTTGCAGGTTGCACACAACTGATGAACACATTCATTCATACACACAGTTCCACTCACTGAAATTTCCATCAGAGCTTAGGGAAGAGGCAATTTCATTCATTTCTCCTTCCATCTACAGCTGCCCCCCACCATCTCTCTCCAAAACCTGCTCTGGAAGGTATGAGGCTAATCAGTGAAAAACTGCTTCCTTTCACTTTTTCTAGCAGGAAGCTCTACAAAATTTTAGTGGCTTCCATGAATAGAGGGAGTCCATCCATTCACAGAAGCAGAAAACTGGATCCAGCCCAAACTAACTCACTCTCTCCCCACCCACCCTTTCTCTCTAAAAGCACCATGTTGCCATCTCATGATTCTTCTTAACAAGTACATCAAAGAACCTCATAAAATTAATAGCTGCAACACCCTGGGAGGAACATCAGTTTTACAGCCACTATATTTCAAAGGCTGACTTTGATATAAAGCATTGTGTACATTTTCATAGTGACAAGACAGTTTTGTTACCACAGGACAAGTTGAGCGTTGATCCAGCATTTGCCAAAAAATGTTTAATAGCAACCCATTAAAAGGGCACAATTAAAAGACACTAGTTTAAATATGACATGGTATCAATAACATGAGCCCTGCAGACCACCTCTTCTTCCCCTTCTGGAAGTATTCCATCTCACCGGTTACAAAGAGGAATCCTGTTAAAGGTGGCTGCCCCATAACTTGGTATTCCCTTGCTCTGGGATGCAAGCTACTTCAGCAAATTTGATCAAAGCTTTGATGGCCAGGATTAAGATGCTAAGGTATGTTTTTTTGGCCCCACTGAAGTGGTACACATTTTGCAAAATAGTTTTGAGTAGCAATCCCCTGCTCAGGCTTGTAGTCAACTATCTGGCCGATTGAAACAAGGAAAAGTTGGCAACAGACAACCAACCAGCACAAAAACACAGCAAAAGCTGGGTTTCCCTGTTTTTCGATCATAAAGGACTAACACAGGCATGGGCAAGCAAGCTAGCTAACTAGTAAAAAAATATTCATGAGCAAGATTTTTTTCTGGACTTCTTCATAAGATTTCTCTAAGAGGATGCAGCATCAATGCTGTTCTTAGAAGAAACCAAAAGAAGCTCCCCACCTATTACTCCTCCTTTCCCCAGCAGTGAATTTCCAGTTCACTTCTTGTCACTAAGAAAGGGAAAAAAACCCTTCACTTTAGCATTGCGCAGACTGCCCATAGCAGATGCACTTATTCCTTATACTGAAACCTCTTTAATTCCCTTTCATGTTCTAGAAGTTAGTGAAAGAATTAGCTGCCTATCCCGTCTTTCAGCATGACAGTATACCTGCTGATTGCAAAGAGTAAAACCTGTAACAAGGACTCATGCAGACAAGCTCCAACGGCAAGCTATTCCCATATACCTCTGCACAAGCAATAACAGGGTGGTTCAATTGCAACTGAGGCACATTCATACACAAATACAAACACACAAATTATCAGACCCAACAGGTTATCAGTGTAACATTTGGGTTATCTACATTCACATGAGCCTTTATTTAATACACTAGCTTTCTCCTAGTACACAATTTTGCAATTTCATTATTAGGAGTTAGATAAGCTTCCTTCGTCCATTAAAAGGAAGAAAAAGGAGGGGCACTGGCACTGTATCTTACAACTTTTACCCTTTCCCCTTCCCTTCATCCTATATTAGTGATGCAGAACATGAACTTTGAATATGTGTGTGTGTGTGTGTGTGGACACGTATGTACACATATATATTATTAGTAAGACTTTCAAGACCAGTTCAACATATCTTTGATTGGCACTGTGTGGCTATATGGGGTTTTTGTGTGAATACATGTGTTTTCACTTTGTTTTGTTTTCTTTTTCCCCTTTTTTCTGTATATGTGTTTGCGGTTCTACTCTTGTTTTGTTTCTCAGGGGTTTTTCACTGAAGCTTGGTTTTGTTGAAAAAGTGTAAAAATCAAATAGATGTTATAAATATAAAAAACCTGGATGTTCTTTGTTCTAAACTTTAAGAGCTAACGTGGCAAAATATGAAAGGAGAAGCACAAAAGTATTGTTTTAAACACTTCTCAAGTTTGCAATACCCTTGTGAACAAAATAAAATGTGTATCAGATACAAGCCCCTGTTGTTTAAGGCTGCTTATTTGTGTAAACGAAAGAGTTAAAATACATTTCCTGGACAGCAAAATGGGCCTGCTTTGACAATCCCACAGGATGGGAAGCAAGCATATTTTAGCTAGCAAATAGGAAACAGAGCTTGACTGCCATGCCCAGAATACTAAAAAATATGTGAATCCTGGTAAGCTCAGAAAATAAGCCCAAGGGACAGGATGGGATGGAGCAGCAAGTAATAATGTTGGAGGTGCTCTTCAGCACAGATTCATGAATTTTGTTCCAGAAGTTGTATCTCCTTCTAAACAGAGTTAAACAGAGAAACATATGTCAAAGCCAACATTATTTTTGAAACAACGTATCGCACCATTCCCTAATATGACAAAGATACAGAATAGCGCTAACCAACCTTAAAATGCAGAAAAATGCAATGTACAGACTTCCATTTGCTGTTAGAAAGGACGTTGATTGCAAGATTTCAGGGAGCAGTTTGTACAAATAATAATCAAGTTTTCGCTTCCGGAGAACTGCGGCAATCTGTAAGAGAAATGTCCATCCAAGTTAATTTATTCATATATTACATTTTTCAACTGCTATTCTTCCACTGATCTTAGGACAGCATATAAAGGAATCCTCTCCTATTTATTTCTATGTACTGAAACGGAGTCTTGCATCAAAAAAAAAAAAAAACCCTCTTGAGTATGTACAGCCAACAATCAATTCAACTCATGGCCTTTTTTACTCCAATGGCCAATAAAACTGAAATCTTCATAGAACATGCAAAAAACAATCCATCCAACATTGTGATCTTATAAAAGCATTGCTCCCTTGCATTTTATGCAGATGCAAGTTTATAGGGCTAGGAAATGGCTTCCCCAAAGTGGTGTCATGCAAGTGTGTTAGAATGATCTGGAAGGCACCAGGCTGGAAAAGGCTGGCACAACACAAAATAAGTAATGATTTCAGAGAGTAGCTTGTGCTCCAGTTTCAAAACTGAAGCCACTCATAGTTAACAGCATAGAAATTACCTGTGCTAAGAAGGCATCCATAATTCAACAATACTTAATATAAATGGTTTAAAAAAGTATTTTAATCTTTAAAGATTAAGATTCCAATGCACGCTTACTGGAATCAATACTCATTGAACTCAGTAAGACTAACTTCGTAGAAAATATGCATAGCAAGGAGGTAAATAGTCTCCCTAAGTATCACTAGCAAGCTACCTCGATCTTCTCTCTTCTGAACAAAGCATGCATATAAGGGAGAAGACTGAACTTCTCATTTGTAGGTACTAAATAATGAACACTTTTGCGAGTGTGTGCGTGTGTGTGTGTGTAAGTGCACCCATAGACTCAAACAACAAACAGAACTTCAAAGTTGGTTTTGTTTCTAGTTAAATGCTTCACAGCAGACATAAAAACTGCAAATACTTTTATGAAGAGTCTCTATAAACTTTTACAGCTTGAAGAAGTGGGGGGCAGGGAAGAAACACACTGCAATTTTATCCTTTCCGTATTATACAAGTTCAGTATTGCCATTCCTTCCACTGAGTTTTCTAAGATGGTCCCTTCCTCTTCCTCTTCCGTACTTTCTCTTATTCTTATACTGTAGTGGCAATTAAGCTACAATGCAAACCAAAATATAATGGCTTGAACCAAACTTCAAGCAACAGTATGATAGCAACAATTGAGACAATTACTGGTGACAATACTTAGAAAAAATATGCATCTGTCTAGATCAAACTGAACCATAGCTTTTTTATAAAATGCAAATATACATGTTACTGCAGGTATTTAAACCTAACTTTGATACATCCTTTATCTCAAAGTATCTGTTGAGACAGAAAAAGGTTTGCTAAATTTGCTGAAATGTAGGATTTAATATTGAATTTTAGTAAGCATTTTTATGAAAATATTGGAAGTACATTGAAAGGAAAACGAAATAAATGTGCTGTTCATGAATAAGTAACATACATCCAGATATTTTAACTGTATTATCACTTTTTTCAAGTTTTATTAATACCATGATACACACATGCTACTACCTATATTCAAGAGACTTTTAAAAAATGACAGTGTTCTAATACATCTTGTAAGATAACCTGGAAGCCAAAAGAGGAAGGGAAACTTTCAAAAGATTTTTTAAAAGTCAGGGAAGGAAGATGGATGGAACTAAATCTAGAACCAGGTCTTCTCAGGCACAATTCCAAAGCTGTATTTTGTAGCAGCAGAGTAGATGCTGGAACAATTTCTTGGGAACATCCACAACAGTATTTTAATCCAAGTATCAACCCAATTCAGTGTATGAATGCTCAGAATAAGTGCATGCTCTCAGACAGGTATACACAGGTTTACAATTTCGTCATCCATGCAATTTGATTTCAGATTACACAACCTGCAGATTGTACAACTCTTACCTAGGTACTGAAACAAGTTTCACAAAATCTTCTATATGCAAGGTATGTGACCAATTCAGATGAATTATTTTCATGTGCATCCCAATCACTAGGTATGGCTGTGAAAGCTGGACAGCGAAGAAAGCTAACAGAAAGAATATGGATACATTCGAGACATGGTGCTGGAGGAGAACTGAAAGAAAGGGAAGCAAGTAGGTCCTAGAACAAGTCAAGCCAGAACTTACTGCAGAAGCAGAATTGACAAATCTGAGGTGCTAAGGTCAGGACACATCATGAGAAGGCAAAACACCCTAGAGAAGACAATCATTCTAGGAAGAGTTGCAAGCAGAAGAAGAAAGGGAAGAGCAAAGATGCGATGGATCAATTTCATGAAGCCACAGACTTATGCTTACAAAAGCTGTTGACGACAGGACATCCAGGAGTGCATTCACTCATTAGGTTGCAGTATTTGGAGATGTTTTGACAGTATGTGACAACAACAATGCTGTGGGATGAAGCGGTTTAGTTGTAGACACGGGCTAAAATCACAGTCATACTTCTGTAGTCTTCTCTCCTGCTTGGGTAAAACAGTGTGCTTTCCAGGGCAAGTGATCAGATCATCTCTGCCACCATTCGCTTAGCTCCCATCTTCCTCTCTTCTCCCGTTATCCAGATGACAAGGTACACATGCACATGGACAGTGCCACAGACTGCCTAATTTTAATGCTATGTATAAGACAATAATTATACATATAGTTGAAACAGGGTTCACTGAAATGTGATTAGTGCATAGTCTGGTGATTTTAGACAGTGAATAAATACTGTTAGAACTACCACCAAAACCCCACCTTCACTTCTGTCTCTTCCAAAGAAAACTCGCAGGCATTTTGGCACCAGGAAGTACAAGGAAGGGAGGATCGTTGTGAGCAGGTTTGGTAGACAGCACAATACCAAGTCCCTTAATAATTTCCAATTCTAGTGCTAGCAAAATTAAGCGGAGAAATGGCAATTACAGCTTGAAATGCACCATAAAAAGTTATTTTCCCCTGCACAATGGGCCAAACTTTTCTTTGCAAAGTATGGATGCATATAGTTAACAAGCCTAGATGAAGCAATGAGCTACCAGGTGCATTCATGGGATGTTGGTCAATAATTGCCATGGGCTAGTAAGTTTAGCAGACTTATTTGCAAAACTGATCTAAAGACAATACAATTCTTTGCATCTGGTGAGGCAGACTACAAGCCTAACAAAACAATATTTGTTTTTCAGCTCCAGGCTAAGACCTTTTTATTTAAACCTTATTTTAATTGTTAACTTATTATGCATTTATAGAATTTAAAATTTTTAAGCCGAGATGTTACCGGGCTTTTTAATCTTTAATTGTATCAATTGTTATTTATATGTTTTAATTATGCTGTGAGCCGCCCCGAGGCTTTGTTGCAATGGGGGTGGCATAGAAATGTTTAAAATAAATAGATAGATAGATAGATAGATAGATAGATAAGCCACAAAGTTTATATCATAATAAATATCTTCGCCTTTAAGGCACCACAAGACTATCTCATTTTTGACTCATTTCAGTTGTCATTCTAGTCACTTCCTACTTCCATTTAGCAAATAAAACTGCAGATTCTCGTCCATCAATACTGCAATCGCCCAGCATCTTAAGATAATGTTCATGCTAAGGACGTCGCTACTAGATATTTCTCACGGGTTCACTGAAAATCTCAGGACTCTATTCTGTCAATATTTTCATCCTGGGATTCTACTCATTAAGAACTGAGAATCAGACTCCCACCTCAAAAAACCCAAATGGCTGCAATATTGAACGTCCCTGTGTGACATGTCTACATCGGGCCTGATATTTACCATGCAGACTAGAGCTGTTCTATTTTCCTCAGCTGAAAACTGAATGCCTATATTCAGTGGGTAGATGATTAAGGAAGTAACCGTATTTGAGAAACGCTCAATTTAATAATAGTTATTCTCACTCATGATTTAATAATAGTTACCCTTTAAAATAAATTTACTATTTTAACTTAAAAATAAACAATTCTGCTCTAAACTATAAATATCCAACAAATGCTAAAAATCCTGATTTTGTTTATTTTGAAACATTGATTTCCATCCATCCTTCCTCTTAGTCATTTTTTAAACAAAAACTCTCTTAACTAAGGACAGTTCCAAAGTTGGTTATAATGCCAAAAGTTTCTTGCAAAAGCTTTCAGACTCCTTAGAATCGTAATCTTATTCTCAATCCCTTTCCAAATAATTCCTGACAGGGAATTTGCATTTTTCACTGCCTCTGCACACTGTCTGCCCCAACTTCTGCTTGATTTCCATTTTTAAAAACAACCCAGAAGCACTCAGTTCTTTGGTTTTTGTTATAATATGCAAACTCATAATTCTGAGCTAATGAGGAGGGAAACTAACCAGATTTTCAACCCAACAACAAACGTTTGAGTTAAAACCCAAGGTTATATCCACTTCAGAGGTATAGGTTTGCCCATCACAACACAGGAATGGGACATTCCTAGGTTGTTTATAAAGGGGATTTTTTTTTAAAAGGCACACACAAGCAAGAGGCACTGCCCTCATTTCTAAAAACCCACAATTTGTCATTACATGTAAACTAGGTCAACATTTTGGGGCTCTCCACAACCCCATTTCATTTTCACTTGACTACCTCAGTGCTCACCCTAGTTCATACATGATCAAATCTAATAACACATGCTATGATTTCTCATCATGGCAACTGTTATTTCTTTGTACCAGTAATTATTTGTTATTCATATTTATTTCATTTATACCTATCGTCATTTATTTAGTTATGACTACTATACCTGTTATTTTTGCGTTATTACATCCCAGTTACTAATGCATGCTCCTTAGTGGGAAGCTTTCCAGGGGAGAAGTTCTACTTGCAATGCATGCCAACCACTTGGCTTTTTTTTTTAAGTCTCAATGGGCCAGCTGCATGTTATCCTTCAAAATAAGACCAGTTGTGCGGCACCGAACACCCACCTTACATTTCAGAAAAATTAAGTCTGTGGCCAGCTGGAGCTCAAAAGATAAAGAGGTCAAAACAAAAACCTGACACTTCCTTTCACATATTGGATCACTGGACTAGGACTGCTCCTGGATTTCTCTTCCTTTCATAAAGAAGCTTTTAAAAGCTGGTCGCACTGACTGCTCATTTTGGCATGATGTGTAAGCATGCCAGGGTGAAGTAACTGTTACAGTCATCTAGAATATTTTGCATTATACACACAAAAAACCCCTCTTCAAAATCTACCATTAGCAAACACTACCCCCTTCCCCACAAAATCTGAATGATGCTCGAATGATCTCTGCTCTTGCCATTTTGTCCCTATAAAACATCAGGAGCAGCCCCTTGGGAACAGCTGGGGCATTGTCTTCCCCAGCATGGAGCCCTCTGATGTTTTCGACCTTGACTCCCATCAGCCTCTGCCAGCACAATCAATGGTCAGCAATCCTGGGAGGTGTACTTTAAAGCATCCAGAGGGCACCAAGTTGGAGAAGGCTGCCCTAGAGACATTGCCCTACACAGGACAGATCCCATGAGAATTCTGTGCTGTTCTCTTTCGGGGGTGGGTGGGGTGATGAGGTAGTAGTAACTGCTATATTAAACAAAAGAATCACAGAACGTCTAACCTCCTGGCTTGCAAGATCCAAAAAGGAGAACTCCTGGGATGAGGGATCACAGTTCCATTGAACATGTGTGTCTATTGATTGAAGATCAGCATTGATATAATACTTTTCCTTGCATCTATCCTTTGAGTTCTAGGAAATGCTTGGTTCATTACACAAGAAAAAGGCCAGCCATGCACAGAGAAACATACAAGACAGTCATTTCTCCATTGTTTCAAAGCATGGAAAAACATATTTGAATATTCCAACCTTATCAGTGGGGCCAGCTGCACAAGTCTGGTATCCTCCCACTTGTCAAAATGCTAAATGAAAAAGCCTCACAGACATCCCACCCCACACCACTGTGTCCCTTCCTACCCCATAGCATAAACACTCTTTTCTTGGGTCTTCATTCAAGAATGTTAAATCCTTTCAAAAGGCTTGGAGTTGACTCAAAACCACAAATCCATAAAAGGTAGGAAAAGTAGCACCATGTCCAAGAGGGTATCAAAATGGCTAACATGCAGCGTCAAGGAAGATATTACAGAGATTTCCTTCAGTAAATGGAAGACTGAGGAAAACAATAGCATGCCAAAGGGGATTCAAACAGATAAAGCATACTTCTTGAGAAGCATACTGCACAACATCAGGACCAATAATCAAGAATTCTTTAAATTTAGCAGGGACAAGGAATCAGCTAGGGAGGCAGCTGCCCCACTGCGTACTGACAGAACTAAAGGAGTGCTAAAGGAGAATAAGAGGACTGCAGAGAAGCTGAATTCATGCTTTTCATCTGTTTTAATTGCAGAAAACATGGGATAGATAGAATTTTAGACACATTATGCGATCAAGCTCATTAGAAAAAAAAAATAACGCTTGGAATGCTCAGCAGCAAAAGCAAACCAGGTCACCAAAGAGCAAGATGGTTAGATTCCATCAAAAAGGATGCAGGACAGAGCACAGTTCAGCTCAAAGAGGTGGCACAGTATCAGAAAGTGTGAAAAGATTTGGCCCATGGGATAGCTTATAGTCGGACATGACTGAACAGCTGAACAACAACATAGAACAGATACCTCTGCCCAAAATGATGTGGTCGCCAGGTTGTGCAAAAGTAGTTCTGCTAGCATCTGCAACCATTTGCAGACTTCCTCTCAGCCTGGCTCACTTCCTAAGCAAGGGCCAAACACAAGAAAAGTCAAACAGAAGAGGGATGAATTCTGCAAGATCACCAACTCTAAATAGCAGTGGCAAAAGATGAAGCTCTTGACCATAATGAAAAATTGGAACCTAATAAGACATTGGGTCAAGATGGTATCCATCGCAGATCTCTGAAAAAATTCACATCTGAAATTGTGATCTTAGTCAAGGCTATGGTTTTCCCAGTTGAAATGTATGGCTGTGAAAGCTGGACCAGAAGGAAGGCTGAGCACCAAAAAACTGAGGCCTTTGAATTGTGGTGCTGGAGGAGACTCCTGCGAGTCCCTTGGACCGCAAGGCGATCAAACCAGTCAGTCCTAGAGGAGATCAGCCCTGACTGCTCTTTAGAAGGCCAGATCCTGAAAATGAAACTGAAATACTTTGGCCACCTAATGAGAAGGATGGACTCACTGGAGAAGAGCCTAATGCTGGGAACAATTGACGGCAAAAGAAAAAGGGGACGGCAGAGGATGAGGTGGCTAGATGGAGTCACTGAAGCAGTCGGAGTGAGCTTAAGTGGACTCCGGGGGATGGTGGAGGACAGGAAGGCCTGGAGGAATGTTGTCCATGGGGTCGCGATGGGTAGGACACAACTTCGGGACTAACAACAACAACAATGTAACATATCCCTACGATCAGTTTCTGTACCAATAGACTGGAAAATGAACAATATAATATTGTGGGTTTTTAAGACATATGGGGGTCCAGGACATTGCATGTGTAACATCTGTTTTGGGTAAATTGCTTGAAAGAATTATTAAAGCTAAAATTAACAGATAAATCATATGACACACCTTACTGGAAAAGAATCAACATGGCTTCCACAAAGGTAAGTCATACCACCACACAAAGTCCCTCACCAAAGTCTCCTGAACAAACTAAAATGAATAAAAGGCTCAATAAGCAACTAAATAATAGAAATAAAAGCAGAAATAAATAGAAAATGCCCTCAAAACAGAGATGCAAGCAGTGTTGTCCCAGACCTCTCTACTGGGACCGATGCCTTGCAAATTATTCATAAATGATCTGGAATTAGGAGTGAGTATTGATTTGTTGATGACATCTGATTTGCTGATGACATCAAATTTCAGGGGATTAAAATAAATAGGACTGTGAATAGCTCCAAAAGGAGATCTCAAAAATTGGAAGAATGGGCATCAATGGGCAAATGTAGTTCAGTGTAAGCAAGTGTAAACCAATGTGTGTTGAGCAAAAAGTCTCAACCTCCCATATATGATTATGGGATCTGAGCTAATGGTGACTAACCAAAACAGAGATCTTGGGCTGTGGTGGGCAGCTGATGAAAATGTTGACCTAGGGTGTGGCAGCCATGAAAAAAGGCAAATTCTATGCTAGGAATAACTAGGAAAGGACCTAAAAATAAAACTGCCCATATCATACTCCCCTTATACAATATCCTATGACCACACTTGGAATACTATGTACGATTCAGGG